TTTTTTTTATGTATGTTATGTAGTAATTACAGATTGGTGCAGATTACTACATAACACTGCATAACCAGATCAAATAAATATATTTTTCTTTTGTTAATTTAGTGTTGAACAGTAAAGAAAACAAGCCTTGATTTATTTTCAACAAGATTTTTTTACTTTTAGCATTTTTGGATTTGCAACAACTGCTAATTAAAATAACGGTCCCTTTGATTCAGTGGTATTTTAGTATTATTTATATACTATTATAATATTTATTAATATTTTGAATTCATTTGAATTTCATTTCAGTTTACGTTTTAGTAATTTTGTTATGAGCTTTTGCCATTGTAATTAGTTTTTAATGTTTTTTTTTTTAGTTTTAATTTGTTTATTTCAGGTTTAATAATTTTAGCACATTTTTTTTTTATTTCTGTTTTAAGTTCTAATTTTCATGTAGATTTTTTATAGATTTTTACCTCATTTTTAATTTTGTTTTTTTTATCAGCTTTATTTCAGTTAACTTAAAAATCATTTTAATAGTTTTAGTTTCCAACAACAACAGTGCTCTGATAAAAAAACAGTAATTTTAGTCAAGTAATACCTTTAAAAATATATGATATTTAAGAAATATCAAGATATATACTGAATGACAAAATATTGTTATTTTTTTTGCTATATCATCCATCCCTAGTCTTAATTAAACACTAATAAATAAAAATATTAAACATATTTTATACATATTGTCAGACTGTCTTCTATTCCACTTCACAGCATCCTGTTCCAGTAGTTTTTGTTTTTGTTTTTTTGGATGGAACCAATGGAACCAATTTGGATTCAGAAATTATTTATTTTTATTATTTGAGGAAAAATTTTTTTATCTTAAACATATAACTGGCTCTGGTTACACTGCAAGTTTGTGTGGACAGTGCAAAAGAAAGCCTGTCTATTTACCGTCTTCGAATTCAGAATTCTCACCTTGTTCTGGTGTGAAATTATGCTTGTCTTGACATTTACTTGCCCATTCATCCCGCTGCTTTAAATAGATATATTCATGTAAATTTATGTAAATTATGATAATATAAACTCTTCACGTCACCAAGAATAAATTACATCTCCTCAATCAGCATCTAATTCAGAGTATTCCCTCAGTGACACCTGCTGGGAAGCAACACACTCTGATTGGCCTGTTCGCCGAACGCCCCGCCCCCCTCGAGTCACTCTGCGTTCTGATTCGTCTGCCTGTTTATGTCCACAGCTCAGTGTGGGAGTCGTGCTTTAATTAGAGAACTGGGGAAAAGAGCTGTGAACATGGCCGGCGCTGACCGGGCTCTTGGCAGAACGCCGGCAGGAAACTGAATGGTCTGGCACTTAGCCAGTGATTCACACGGGACCGTCTCTCGCTCCCTTACAAGAGGCCTTGGAGTGGTTGCTGAGAGGTCCTTTAAGACCGTAGCCTTCGATATAGTCATGAAACACGCAGAGGAGGTGAGAACAGACGCACAGCGTAATTGGCAGGAAGCGTGGACGGAATTACTTGATTGATAGTGGTTTAGAGGAACAGACAAGCGTCTTAAAAACACATATCAGGTTTACTGTACACATGGACAGACTGTAGCCTTCTTCAAGATAGTTTCTATTAATTGCCTCATTCATTTTCATTCTAAGAATATCCTAATTAAGAAGGGTGATAAAATATTACACTCTGCACGGACATTTTAATGAAAGTAAGCACTCCGATAAGTGGACTTGCATGGAATTAGTAGATTAGCTTGGCTCCAGTCTGAATATGCTAATAACTGTCACCAGCTCTTGCCAAGAGATGATACAGTGTGCAATCTTGTGAAGGCTTTGCTAAAATTGCCCCAAAACAGCTCATCAGCTTCAGTTATTCTGAAAGAAAACAGCTTGAGTCTGAGAAATTGAGATGTACTGGTTAGTTTGTGAGGCAAAGCACATCTAGGAGTCTATAATAGGAATGTTTCTCTCCTCTTATTTCAAAATCTTGCTGAATCGAAGCTTAAATCAAGCTCAGAGCGCTTAGAAAAGACTAAAAACCGAAGCACTGAAGCATACAAAGTTACTTTCAGCATTTCAACCAAAACTTTAAAGGAAAAGTTCACCCAAAAATTATATTCTGCGATCTTTAAATAATTATCATCATTTATGCCAAACTTGTGGCAAATTAACTAATTTAACAGTTAGTATTGGGTAACATCCACATTTGTGACCCTGGACCACAAAACCAGTCATAAGTGTCAATTTTTTTAAATTGAGGTTTATACATCATCTGAAAGCTGAATAAATAAGCTTTCCATTGATGTATATGCAAAAAAAATCTAAATATTGAGAAAATCGCCTTTAAAGTTGACCAAATTAAGTTCTTAGCAATGAATATTACTAATCAAAAATTAAGTTTTTATATATTTACGGTAGGAAATTTGCAAAATATCTTCATGGAACATGATCTTTACTTAATATCCTAATGATTTTTGGCATAAAAGAAAAATCGATAATTTTGACCCATAAAATGTTTTTTTGGCTATTGCTACAAATATACCCCAGCGACTGGTTTTGTGCTGCAGAGTCACATTTAACCACAATAATTTTTGTTATTTAAAAAAAAATAAAAAACAGACTTAAATTTTGGTTTGTTTCTAACACAAAGCTGTCATGGCTTCTGAAACCTTGGAACATGCAGGTTTTTGGAGCTTTGGACACTATATGCGATCGTTGTATTGAAAAAGTGCAGTGTATGATTTCCTCAAAATTTCTCCTTTTGTGTTCAACAGAAAAAAAAGACAAATAGGGTGAGTAGATACTGACAGAAATTTCAATTTTCAGTGAACACTGTACTTTGCCAAGGTCTGACATAGATTTCAGGCAACCTTCAGCACGTTTCTGACGAACTTGGTTTTAAAAATGAAGGGTGGAAATGTGTGCACCTGCTGCTGCTCCTCTCTGAATGACAAGCGTAGCCTCTGCTCCCACTGGACATTCCTTGAGCAGCTGCACCACCTGTGTGTGGTTGAGTCCCTGGAGACCCTTCTGATTAATCTCCACCATCAAATCTCCTTCACATAACCCCGGACAACCCTGCGGCTCCAGAACCTGATCCAAACGTATAGAAACAATGATGACACATATAGTGCTTGATTTATATAAATATATAGAACTGATCATTTTCCAAAAAAATCATATAGAATTTGTTTTCTAAAATAACAACAAATAACATATATTTACATATTTAGACAGACAGACAGACAGACAGATAGACAGATAGATAGATAGATAGATAGATAGAACCTGATCCAAACATGTAGAAACAGTTATGACACATATCGTGCTTGATATATAGAAATATAAATATATATAACTGATCATTTTCCAAAAAAATTATATATAATTTGTTTTCTAAAGTAACAACAAATAACATATATTTAGACAGACAGACAGACAGATAGGGCTGCACGATAAATCGAAATGGAATCGAGATTGCGATTCGACAGAAGCTGCGATTGTCATGCGTATCTTTCAGTGAAGCACGGTTCTGTGATCAGCAGTAAATCTCCATCCAAAGGCCAGAGGGCGCTCTCACGCTGAAACTCCAAATACGCCTCGCAGAAGAAACCCAGAAAATGCCTATCGCTGCAGCTGAATAAACAGAAGATTAAACTGCTTTCATTGATTCAACGTGACTAATAAACACACGAATACGTAGTAAATTCTGTTCCATCTGAAAGCACGTGATGATGATTTCCTGCTGATTACAGAACCGGCATTACTAACAAAATGCGCATGACAATCGCATTCGATTAATCATGCAGCCCTACAGACAGACAGATAGAATGATAGAATGATAGAACGATAAAATGATAGATAGATAGATAGATAGATAGAACATTTTTTTCATTGTTTTATTTATGCATACTATTTAATTTGAGTTTGAGACCCCCGATATGAAAATGTTTGTTCAAAGAGTAACATGGATATCAGCGCACCTGTTTGACTCTTTGCCCTGTGGGACTGTCGGCGATGGTGAACCCAAAACCCTCTGTGCCTTTGGTTATAGTGAGACTCATAAGTTCAGGGGCCACTTGAGCGCCGGTGGTTGCGCCTGAGGATGACGCCATGGAGACGCTGTCATCGGGTGGGGGTCCCGGTGTGGTCAGGGATGGAGGCTGAGAGCCGTCCAGGTGTGTGTCTCCAGGATGGGGATGCGAGGTAAGGCCCTCACCGTGCTCGGGTACTAAGCGTCCAGTCAAAGACATGTACTCCATGTAATTTTCATAGTTGTTCCTTCCATTGAGCAGCAATGGGTGATCCACTAGGCCCAAAGGGGGCATTGAGGAACTAGCGGAGGGGTCTTCTGGGTCATAAGGGAGAGGGTAACCTCGACACAGCACCAGGGTGACACTCTGCCCAATGAGGACGGACTGGAAAAGCTTCACCACATCAGCATGGGTGGTGCCCAAAACACAGATGTCATTGATGTAGACGATCACATCACCTGATGAAGAAATAATGAAAGAAATGAGAGAACTAAACAAAATATGAAGCGTCATACTCCCAAGTGCATTATGTCATCACTTTCATATCTACCACTCGCTCAGAGAGCGTATATCCTGAAATTGGCTTAATTATTAAGGATATCGGCTCATTACATTTTACTGTAATTTTATGCTAGGATGACCATAAGTCCTCTTTTTCACAGACATGTCCTGGCTAGGATTTCTAAATTGCCTAAACTGTACGGTTTTGGTTTTGTTTTGCTGTTGACATGATCTCTGCAGGCCACATACATTATATGTATGCATATTTACATTATTTTGACCATTATCGCTCTCCCGCCTTCTTGCACACCATGATTGGTCGATTATGTACAATGCCTGCATGCTATTGGTCAAGCTACATTTCAGTCATTACTTCAGCAAGTATGAAAACCCTGTTTAAATGCATTTGTTCCTTATTAAAGTACACTTTGTGAGCTTAGCAACATGCTAATGTTAAATACTATTTTGTTAAATACATTGTTTGTGTTATTTATCAGCTGAAAAAATATTGTTTCCCTTTCAAAAATTAATCATGGGTTTTACTAAAGGTGGCGTACTGATTACGTACCATTTGTATAACCACAGTTTTATGACAAATACCATGGTTAAACTATGGTTAGTGTAGCAAAACCATGGTTACTTTGTGGTTACCATAGTTTAACTGTAGTAACCATGGATTTTTGGTTTCTTTTGTAGTAAAACCATGGTTAACTTCGTAAAGGATCGTTCATTTATGTTGTTATCGTTATACAATAGTAATGGTGTGGACTTCGCTATTCTCACAGGACTAGAACAATTATTAAAGGGATAGTTCACCCAAAAATGAAAATTAATTGAAAATCTGGTCATTAATTACTCATCCTCATGCCGTTCCTTACCCGTAAGATCTTCGTTCATCTTCAGAACACAAATTAAGATATTTCTGATGAAATCTGAGAGCTTTCTGACCCTGCATAGACAGCAATGCAACTACCACATTCAAGACCCAGAAAGGTAGTAAAGATAGAGTTAAAATAGTCCATGTGGCATCAGTGGTTCAACCGTAATGTTATGAAGCTACGAGAATACTTTTTGTGCGCAAAGAAAACAAGAATAACGACTTCATTCAACAATTTCTTCTCTTCTGTGTCAGTTTTTGATGCACGTTCACAAAAGTACGACGATGCATGTGTGATGCTGCTGACACAGGAGCCAGCGTTCTGACGTAGAACCTCTTGGATTTCATCAAAAATATCTTAATTTGTGTTCCGAAGATGAACGAAGGTCTTTAAGGGTTTGGAACGACATGACGGTGAGCAATTAATAACAGAATTTTCATTTTTGTGTGAACTGTCCCTTTAAAATGGTATATTTAAGTATTAACCTTGGTGTAAACAGGCCTTCAAAGTTTGGACGAATTTTCGAGGGCAAAACTCCAGGGGGCGGGGTTGGATCCACATCTAGGGGGTGGAGATGGTAGGTTTAGCGGTGGAGATGGGTAGGTTTAGGGGTGGAGATGGGTGGGTTTAGGGATCAGGGGGTGGAGACGGGTAGGTTTAGGTATATGTAAGGTGGGAGGAGTTGGATCTGGATCCAACCTCACCCCCTGGATCTTGTGTTCTGCAGTGAGGACCATCTCGATTTTAAAGCAACTTCTGTGTGAGTTGTTCTTAATATATCATTAAACTATTTACAATAACCAATGGAGCTTATTTTTTCCTGCGATATTTTGCCAAAATTTTGTTAATGTGACAGTAGACAGCAAGACAGCTCACTAGGTGTTGGAACAGAGCTATTATGTCATGCTTAAATAGACATTCTTTGACCCAAATGTTTACTAAATCATATCATTTCGGATTTAAGTCCTCTCCACACATACACAAAAGGTTTTATTGCGTAAGTGCAGACAGTTGTAGACACCAACCGAGTGAGCTATCAGCAAAGCTGGACGATAATGAGGCATCTCAGTAATAAAGGCAACCTGAGGCCTATTGAAACTATTGAAACAAGCCAACTGTGTATGTGCGTGCGGAATAGAGTAGGACTTCTATAAAAGGACCCCGTTCCCCCATCAAAAGCGGATAAAACACACAAGATCCCACCAAAGCCCAAATTGCAACGCTAGCTGGAGGCATATGCAAATAAAGCCACTGCCAGCATCATTATCTGTGAGGGCCTTGGGAAGTGATGTCATCTTCAGACCACACAGATGTGATACACTTCTAAAGTTAACACATGATCAAGGAAACGAACAAGCCATCCAGAAAGGTAGAGTCGCAGCCAGGACGCAAGTTTCCCATACTAGGCTAAGAGTTCCTCTACAAGGGAATAGAGAACTTATGAAAAAGCAGCAAATAAGCCTTTGGCGTCCGCCTGTGATGACTCACTCAAAGATGCTCTTTCATCACAGAAAAACACACTGCGACAAGCGTGACCTTGCGCTAGCTCTGTGCAAGCTATTAGGGGCTGTTGTCAAGCGGTGGCTACAGAGATAATGATGTTTCCTAGCCCATGCGCTGAGGGTTTTCTCCTGAGATCTGAGGTCACGGCTCAACACTGCATATCTATCGATTAGTGTCTGTGTATTAAAAGGGGGCATAATTTTCAATTCGTAATTCCAAACAGTCTGGTGAAATTGGACAATTAGGCCTGCAGGCATTGTTTGTTTTCCTTAGCAACAGTAACTATGGTTGGTGTGACAATCACTGGTAATAAAACAGAAAGGTGTCACTGAAATTATTTTTATATTTTATCTTATTTTATCGCTTGGACAAATTCAGAAAACAAATTGTTAAATAAAGTTAACCTAAGGTAACTTGAATGTGAACTACTGATAAATTTAAATAATTAATATTTTTATGTTATATATATATATATAATATATTTATTATATATAAATATTAATTATATATAAAATATATTTCCACAACTATTACCACAACTATTAAGTTAATTGTTAATAATAAATATGTATATTATTAATTATATTTAAACATTATATTTTACATAGTTATATAATACTATGCACACACATGATTT